TTTTTTTCTTCAGATTTTAATATCAAGCAATGGTTGTTTAGGCAGCATCTAGATAATATGTGGATGGCCAGTTCTAGAAAACAAAATTCTAAGGTAACCTAGAAGGACTTCAAACATTCTAAGGTCATTTTTATACCAAGAAAAGAGCATAAGACTCAATGCGAGTTTAAAAAGTATACACTTGCCATCTTTCAGGATAAAGCCCCAAGAAAAACAATGATGTTTTTGGGTCAATTTTGAAAACAATGCTCTAAATAAGAAGATTTGCACTAAGAATGAAAATATTTGGACCCGAAACCTTTTTTTTTTTTTGAAAAAAAATTGCCCAAAATATGATTTCCCAACAAATAAGATAATCGTGAGAAACTCCCCCCACACTTAAATTATGCATAGTCCTCGATGCATCTATATGGTATGCAAATATTAAGCAAGCACGGACTTAGCAAAGAGAGAAGGGGAAAGGGAAATGCAACTAAAAAACAAAGTATACGCAGCATCAACTAATCACTTTTCCCTCCTCAAAGTGCTCGATGGACCTAAAATCTGCAAAACATGACTAAGACCAAGTCTTTTAGCTTTGAAGAGAGAAAAATCAGATTTAAAGAATGTAGATATCAAGCTTCAAATTTGGTTCTGGAAACAAATTCTTGTGCCTTTTTGCACTTTTCAAAACAAAATGCTGCATATGAGAAGGTTAGTTATGTCATGCATGTGCAAAGCAGCTCATATGCATCTATTAAACCTCATAATTCAGCACATATGCATCTGATGAACACAAAATCAGATTGAACACCAAGAAAAGATTGCAAATTTTTTTCCTATTTCAGCACCTATAAGCTGTAAAAAGTGTAAAATTTGCATTTCGCACTCAAAAAATCAGCTTACAAGTCCAAAAATAACTTTTCAAAGTGCAGAACTTTTCATTAGTATCCAAAAATCAGCCTTAAGAGTGCAGAATTTTCAATTTTCAGCCCAAAAATGATCAAATGTAAACACCCAAGGCTTCTAGAAACAGAAAATTGACAATATACCAATACCCGGGGGCTTAGAACTCCTGTTCCAAAACAGATTTTGCACCATTTTTGCGCAGATTTTTATTCCAAACACCTATGCTTCCACCTAAAACTCAGCAAATCTTGCAAAAAGCTCTCAAAGTAGATGGTTAGAAGCACAAGTAATAAAACAATTAATCTCAACAAGATCGCTTTTATTTGTTATACACTTTAAATAAAAACTAAATGAAAGAGAAAAGAAAAAAAATATTCCTATAGTTACAACAAGTAATATTACATCAATTCGGGAAAAAAAAATTAGAAAAGTAAGTTGGTTATTAAAAAAAATAATAATCTAATTAATGACCACAAGGGAAAATAAGTACAACAACAAGTTAAAGAAGTTAGAAGTAAGCAAGAAATTTAGAGAAAAATTAAAAAATGATATAAAAGTAAGTGAGTTATGTTAAAAAAAAGAAGGAAAAAAAATGCAATCAACAATTATAAGACAAGAAGAAAAATAGAACAATTACTAGAAGTTAGAAGTAATTTAAAAAAAACGCTTGAAAAGTAAATGGGTTGCCTCCCATAAGCCGCCCGATTTAACGTCAATGGCTTGACACAGTTTACTACTTGCAAACATACATGCAAATAAACCATGAAGTAGTAAAGAGAAGTAAAAGTGTTTCTTTAAAACACTCAGAGAAAGTAAAAACAACGGAAGCCGAAATTCAGAACCCAAGTGCAGATTGTAAGCTTCAAATCAGTATTTAGAAACAGTTTTCTGCATTTTTGCACTTTGACATCAAAACTCAGCATATAAGGGTCAAATTTAGATTGCAAAGACAAGCTAAATACCCTTCAAGTCAGTTCCTATGCATGTATTTAACAATTAAAGTGCATAATTCAGCAAGTAGGCATCTTAGGAACTCAAATTCAGCATGAAAAGCAAGAAAAGATGTTGCAGATTT